TCCCCTCCTGAGCTGCTCACAAGATGACTGACAAAAAGCTGTCAAAGGAGTGTTTAGGGAAGCAGGAGCTGTAAACCAACAAATCTCACTCACTGAACAACTGTCACTCTAGTGCTCTGCACCTTTAACATTCTGGTCTCCGGGCTAATAAATCTCAATGTGGACATCTTGATTGAAGTAACATGAACCTCATACTGTGCCCCAAGACCTGAATGACCCACTCACAGGATTAAGTGATGCACTGAAGTAGCAGCTTACACCAAAACACAGCCAAGAAATGGCTCATAGATGCTTCCTCAAAGCCTGTTTTCTATCCCTGGTAAAAGACAGCTTTGAGGTCTCTGCTAGGGTGCCATGGCACAGACTTCCCTGCTCCTGGTATTGTACCTTTTGGTTACAGAGATTCCCCAATGGCTTTTTAAGGCATTGCCTACATATCCTCTGTATCAAGGAAAACATGCATATTGTGTTTTTACAAATGTACAGACACTCTGAAAGAAAGTACAGCTGTGAAATTACTACCAATGGCTCTGTAAGACAAATAGAAAGTATCTTATGTCAGATCCACACAAAGCACAAAACCCCGTGCTGAACAGCTAGCTGCTTGTGTTATATTCTACTCATGTACTGCATTCCTAACTCATTTCTGTGTCTTCCCTGCCCCACAGTTCACAAAGAAGGCAAAAGTAATCTCTCCAGTAAGCTAGAAGCAAGTGCTACAAATATGTCAGTGACAGCTCTTCAAACAGCATAAATCAGCACAGCCTCATTTAACATCCCTGGACCTGCTCTGCTTGATGCCCACACAAGATCTGACTGACGTGCTCTGACCTGTCCCACAAGCACATGGGTCAGCAGAAAAAGTGCTGCTGAGAACAGCGGGTGTGCAGCAACCTCTGTGGAAGAGCACAGGTTATTGATGGCCTGTCTGAGCTTCCCTCCCTTGCACTGCTTCCCAGTTACCTGCTGGTGCCAGGTTTTCATTCTTGCACCTATATTTCTGTGGCTACTCCACCACAGGCATGTTTTGAAAACAAGTCATGCTCCAAGCCAGCAGCTTTCCAAAGCACACCTTTCACGGACCCAAGGACATGAGCGCTGAAAAGGAATTTGCAATAAGCAACTTCTTCCATGGGCCACTGAGCAGCGTACCCAGCTACAAGTGCTGGGCTGAAGTGGGTCTGCACCCTCTCATTTTTGTCAGCTTTCCCCTCTATTAACCTGTGTCTTTTTAGGAATGACAAGAGCAATACTCAGGACTGCACTTACCCCTCTCAGGCAAACCACAGGCCAAGAGGTGTTTTCACTCAACACCCACCGAGCAAGGACATATTCTCCTCCAAAACAAAGCTCTAAAGCATAAAGTTATCAAAATATGATTGGTGCCATCATTGCCCACTGCTACCAGGCTGGCTAGTTTGGCATCTGTCAAAAGGATTATCTGCTGCTTTCATTAAGGTTAATTTGAAGAGCTGAGATCTAAGAAGGCAGAGTACAGTCCCTGCAGAACCAGACTCTCTTTGGAGATTTTGGGCAAGCTCACCATCTCTGTGCTTTGCTCCTCAAAATGGTGGTTTGTCCTGCTCCTCTTTTCTCACTTTACCTCTCCTTGCATACAGCCAGAATTCTCAGGGATCACAAAATCAGGAACAGGAAAGAATAGCTATGACCATATGTAAACAGATCTTCACTGCAACTGGTCAAGGAACAGACAAAAATTCCAAAAGAAGTCTTCCCTTGCACCCAGGCCACCAGTGTCTTGAGTTAAGTACATCCTAGATGTTATTTTCAAGTCTGGGCTTCAGCTGTGCTCTTGGGGACGATGACATTAGTGGACCCTGTTTCAAATCTGACTCACTGTAGACTTGCTCCGTAACCTGGCCTTAAAGTCACATCTCACTCTTCAGTGCCTCAGACAGCTAGACATAATTCTGTCCAAATTTCCATCTCCTTCTTGAGCTGTCAGTGAGATGAATAGCCATGGGATCACTCCAGGCCCTTCCCCTCCATTTTCTCTCACAGGACCTGCAAGGCCAAATCTAGGGAAAGAAAAAAAAATGCACTGCCACTGCTCCATACACCATCACTTACTCATGAACTGACAGCATGGGATGGTGCTTGCTCTTTCTGTGTGCCTATGTATACGTGGTTTTATTTGTGTGTGTGCATGTGTGTGGTGGAGAAGGTTGTAGTCAAAATTATACTCCAGGCATGAAGGTAATTGGTTGAACAACAACAAAAAAACCCACAATGTAAGTTTCCACTTAAAATGAAAAATATGTAGGTCACAGGAGAAACAGCAGAGGCACATGTTTGACATGTCTGTGATATTACTTGATATTCTCACAAGTACTCTCCAAATGGCTTTCTTTTCCCACTTCAACTCAGGCCATTTGCTTTCCTGCAGCCACATCACATAACCTGAAACAACTCCTCCATCCTACAGGGCCCAGAGGCAGAGTCAAATAGAAACATTTCTGCAGCACAACAAAGTCATACACTCTCACCAGCACCAGGTCCAATCTTCTTTGGAAAGAAGTTTGCTGGGACAAAATTAAATAGGAGGGTTTCCTTCCCAGTCACTACTGTCTCTGCAAATGGCTGTCCTTGACCCTACACCACAGAGAATGCACAAACATTCATAGGTCACAAAGTTTCCCCCCATTCCATTGCATTCCCCACATGTGTGCAAACAAACTCCTTGCATATATCATTGAAGCTTTCTGTTCACCTCTGAATCACTCACTACCCATGGTGAGGATGCAAGGCAGCATGTGGTGTGTGAAAGCTGCTTGCTGAACTGCTCACAAAGGCCTCCACCTGCCTCTGATCCCCCTTCCCCATCTGTCTGACATACCCACTTGTTCTAGCTCTAAATTTCCTCTTGGCAGAGACCATCTCCTTGTTGCTAGTCTCTACAACAGCTCTGCAGGGCCCAAATCAAGACTCTTGGCAGAGATACTACTCCAACTGCATCACTACAAAGAAACCCCAAACCAATTCAGAGACAGAAAGGAAGGGATGGATTCATCTGAACAGCTTGTAACCAGCTACAATGCCCAGGAATAGGGCAACTGCTTCTGGTTCTGGTAACTTTATTTCAACAACAGAAAGATTTAAAGCAATGACAGTGTCACAGTTGATTCTTTTCAATTGGAAATTATCCTGTAGCACAGGTAGAACTCATGCCAGGCATGCCAGGGACTGGAAACAGCTGGCTGCAGGAAGAGCACATGTGTGCCAAGTCTCATTTGCATCACTCAATTAGCTTTCCCTCGGCTATTTCAGAGATATGTTTCCTGATGTGCCTCACTAGTCTCTTAGTTCAGGTCAGAAGTGTTTTTCCCTAACTCTTTGCCTTTGTGCCAATGTGCCTTCAATGTAATGCAGCCAGACAGTCCATCCCCTCCCTCCAGTGCAGCCTGGGAGGTAGGACAGTTTCCTTGGAAGGGTGTGAGCAATAATAGTGGAGTGAAAATCTGCACTGATAAGTGAATGAGGCTAGGGTAATTTATGCCACCTGCAATCTGAGTTGAATTTCCTGAATTCCACTTGAATCCCACTTTCAAGGGGCACAAGACTGCTTGTGTCTGATACAAATGCAAGGCTGGATACTGCACAAGGGCTCTCTGTAGCAGGCTGCCTGTATAGCCTGCTGCCTAGTCACCAGAAGGATGAAAAACTATGTGGGTTGGTACCAGCTACTGATCACAGTGCTAGTAATATAATCACCTGCCACCCACTGCAGAGAAAGGCAAAGCAACCTCAGTGATATTGGATGGTACAGCACGATTAGCCTCTGTGGAGTGATCTTGGATTTATACCATCTGAGGATGGGGCCAACCTCTGGGGTCCCAAGTGTCTCATTCCAGGGCATGCCACTCCAACAGTGAGGAACTCAAACTGATTCTGGATATGCTGTTTTTCTTCCTCAGGAGCTGCACATATATTTTTAAGGGGCTAGAGACAAATGTAAAGTGACATGGATGTTAGAGGGCAAAAACTTGTGCAGCCAGACAATAGATTTCTACAAACAATCAAGGTACTCCTTCTCTCCGACATCTCCCTCCAAATTCATTTTTGTTTAGCTCCAGATCCAGCTTGTTCCGGGGGGCCAGGGATGAGCAAGAGCTGCTCAATTAAAACCGTGCAGGTGGTCAGAGAAGCAGAGATGATGGCAGGTGAGCTAACGAGCACCTCGGAGATGTACTGGCTCTGGTGCGTTCCCAGTGCCATCATGTGGTGACACGTGTGAGCACAACGGGTACCAGAGGCAGAGAAGCCGCCGATACACAGCCAATAACTCAGCCAGGAGGTTCTCCAGCCTCATAAACCATGAAGGAAAAGCTCAAGTCAGCAAGAGGCTGAACTGAAATACAACCCAACGCTTTAATTTAGTGCTATCTTTCTTGCTTGCTTTCACATGGTCTTTTTTCTTGAAGAAAGAAGAAGATTTATATTTAAATATGTCTGGAACTGTAGATGTTTGAAAGTGCACTACAAAAGCAACACATACTGCATGATCACAGCACGGCAGAAAAGCTTAAAAATCAATAGGCCAGGCTGGAAATAAAATGCAGTGTATGTAACCCTCAGGTGTAGTACGTCAGGACAAGTCCTGTGTCGAGTTTGAAGGCTAACTCTGTTCTAGGTACGTGAGTGTAGCCTGCTGTTACTCATTGCAGGCCATCCACATTCCCAGCCTTAGCCTCAGAGATACAGTGAGGATTTTCCAAAATAAACCGGAACTTCCGTAATCCCTGAGAACAGGCAAGATGCCTAAATACTCAAAGGAGTTATTTCAACAAAAAGACTGTGCTCAGAAATTTATGCTGACCAGGTGAGGCAGTGAACTGGTGTTTAAGACAACACTGCTTTACTCCAAGCACTGGAATAAAATTCTCAGCATTGACTGCATCTGTGCTTACTATAGGTTTTCCAGCAGAAGGATTCCCAGAAAGACTGTTGTGTTCTAGGACAAGGTTGTTGGCTTTTTTTACCTGTTCACTTCCTTCAGGATCTTCTCCATGTTCACAATGCTGCGCATCTTATACAGGAACCACTTGTCAATGGCTGTGAGTTTGTGAATGACATCCACGGGGACTTCGTTATCCAAGGCCTGCCAGAAACAGGACAGCACCAAACAGCTCCTTTAATACATGCTGCACAAACACAGACTTAGATTGCAAATGGGTAGCAGCAACTGTATAGCATAAAGACATAAAAAGCTCTGTAGACTAAGCTGGACAAATCAAAGGTTCATCTACCTCACAACCTTGTCTCCTGCAGCAACAGAAACTGTGCCCCCCAAGCAGTGTAGGGAGGCACCAGCCACTCCTGCCTGTGCTTTGTTCCCAAAAGCTGGCTTTGGTTTATGTGAGAGAGAGGTAATTTTCTTTGTACATAGCCAGCAGCCAGACAAAGTGATGGCAACACAGCTGGGCAGTCACTGAGTATGTGCCTTAGGGAGGCACATGCAACCTGCAGTGCAGACTTCTCCATCTGCACCTATTGCCACTCAAATTGCCTAAATCTCACACCCACCACCACCATCCTAGCTGAAAATGTTAAACAGGAAGGTCCAGATTCTCAGCTGTGAAGGAACTCTTTGCTTTGGAGCACAAATCTTGATTACCCTTGAAATACAGGCCTGAACCAAAGCAGGTGGTTTTGAAATCCTCTGAAGCAAGGGAAAGTCCAGACCTGGGTAACACTTCACAGCTACAGCATAAGTCTAGCTTATCTCACTCTATCTCAGGTTAATGTCAAGATCATTCAAATTTCCCTGCATTACTGCCTGGGGTTATTTATGGGTTTTTTTAAATCAAACTATTTGCAACCATGGGGTAAAAAGGAACCCCACCGAGGTATTATTCATAAGACAATGGAATACAAGACACCATAGTATTAAAAGAACACCTCAGAGGAATATGCCAGAGAGCCCCTCAGTATGACAGATCTTCTAGCAATGATATTTCTTGGGTCTCACCAGCGGTGTATAGTTACAACTCTCCTGATAAAACAACTATAATTGACCATAATGATAATGCCAGCACGGTATCTTTGCTGAGCTGAAGTAATCAGGCTCATTAACTTACTACCACGCTGAAGTGTTTTCTTGCGGGGCAGCAGCCCTGGAACAAAGCCAGAGCAATGCCACTGAACAAAACTCCAGCACCAATGCAGGAATGAGCTTGGCCCACTGCACGCCAGCACTATTCTTCTGAGTTATCAGGCTTGGGCTCTGTGTTGTACTGTCTCCACATGCTTCAGCACTGCTATCTGGAGACTTTGTGCCAGCTGAGAGAAATGCACAGGTCACTTCAGGGCTGTGCTCCAAGAAGGCACAACCTGCACAGACAAGGGATGGGTGGCAGCTCTCGCATCCAGCACAGGAAATTACTGACACCACCTTCTGCCCTTTCTAAAGGATTCCCAGGCAGCTTACCTGGGTCTCCCTCTCACAATTATCCTCTTGTTCTGAGAGGTAATAAGCCGCTGACTGGAATATCCTGTGTGCTCACAAGCAGTGGTGGAAACCTCTAATGCACATTTTGCTCCTGAATCTACCTGCAGCTAGCATTTGGCACCCAGCAACCACTGCTCTTGCCAATGCCTGCAGTAAGAAGTCTGGGGCCCTCACAGCAGTCCCTGGGCACTGGCAATAACAAAGATGGGCTTCTCCCACATTTCTGGGTACACTACTGATACGAGGCAACTGCTAAGGGGTCCCTCCCATTTTGATTCCTTAGTGCTTGGAGGGTAAGGTCACACTGCTACATTAGTGGGATGTGAGCAGGTCCTTCTTCTGTCCATCTGTTTTCACAAAACACTCGCAGACTTGCACGTGTTGAGGATCACCAACCAATGGTCCCTGAGACACATACACACACACACACACACACACACACACACACACGTAGCATGATCACATACCCTTAACCTGCTTAGGACACTTCATTTAAAACTCATGGGGATCTCCAAAGGAAACTGAAAAAACCAAATGCTTTGCCCTCTTTAATCAGAGGAGGGATAGAGCAAACAAACCATCTTCACCCCTGTGGCATGAATATGGAGACTGGGAGGGAAGAATGAGTTTGCAGACATTTCCTGATCCCAAATCACAATGCCACAGGGCCAAATCAGGTTTCAAGGCAGAAAATCCCTGTAGGATTTGATCAGGGCCCTGAATAGCACTCTGATGGCTTTCAAATCTACACTAAGGAGTAGAGTCTAAACACATCACGGAAGCAGGACAAAGGAGCCACAGGAGGACAGTGTGATTTTAGAGCCCTTCTCACCTTCAAGAGTGTTCCATCCAGTAGACACTGGTCCCATGCTGGGTAGCCAAGGGGTTTACAAGACTGCCTTCACACTGAGAGTCAGGGAGCAGACCTGACCTCCAGGCCAAGCAATGGAGGCCAGCTCACCTGCCCATGCTCTCTCCAGGGCCAGCACCCTTGCTCCTTCAGTTCCAGCCTTGCACCTCCCCAAAGAAAGTATTAAGCTGCCTGTGAACAGCAGCAGAAGTGCAAACTACACATCTGTAGTGTGGACAACATGGAGACCAGACTGGTGTGAAACAGAGCATGGATTGAATCCACAGCCTAAGTCTTCCGAGGCCACCTGTGCACAACCTTAAGAAGCACAGAAAAGACACAACACAATCTGAGCATCCCCGCTCACCAGGCTGTTCCATCCTTGCAGCACTCCTCTGGCCAAGGAACAAGTCTCATCTATGTCAGCCTCTCTCCTGGTGCCTTCTTTTACATGACCACAGGGACCGCCTTTACAACAGCAACAGCTCTGAATGGCAGCTGAACTCCCTTCCCTTGCACTTGGACAGTTACTTGTCATCATCCAACAGACAAAGGAGAGGGAAAAAGTTAAAAGCCTTGGGTAGCTGACTACTGGGGCTTGCGGGGGAGGGGAAGACATATACAACAAAGCTCCATCCTGTTCCAAACATAGCTGAGGCTAAGAGGGACTAACTGTTGGGCTTTAAATGTCAGCAAGCTGGAAAGGGATTTCCAGGCAGGCAGCCCCAGCTGCCAGAAGCACCTCTTACTGATACTGCTTGCCTCAGTTATTAATGGGGATGAATTAGTGCACTGTGTTGAGCAGAGGCAGCTCTTTATAGGGAGGGATTAAGACTTTGATCTTGCTTGTTCCAACAGCTCCCAGTGAAAATGCCAGCAGCTGGGAACACCCAGTGTTCAGTGAGACCCAAACTCACCTTCATCTCCCCAGATCCCCTGTGTTAACATGGGGCTAAGATTAACCTTTCATAAAAGCTCTCTGAGCCACTCAGAGAGACAAGAAGCAACATTTTTCTCTCAGTCACAGGAAAAAGCTGTAATAAAGACCAAACACAGCTGCTGAAGGATGAAGACACACACTTCCCCAGCTTGAAAAGCGAGAGTCAACAGCTGGACAAGCCACACATTTATAGAACATCTTGTGCTTTTTGTTCAGGCCATTTATAAGAGGAACAGCTATGTGAAAACCTTTCAACAAACACAGCACAGCCTCAGCTCCCCACACTCATGTGGAGAGGTAATGAGATGTATCTACACATGAGCACAAAGGGCTTAAAGACTCCACCACACAAAGTCAGGGGCACGAAAAAAAAAAGAGTAATTGGGCATTCCCTGCCAGGAAGGTTTGCCATCTTAAAAAACCCAAGCAACAGGTAAGTAGGAGCTATAAAAGACAGCTATCCCATCCTCTTAATAGAGGGTATGGACAGATGGATAAATTAGCTGCAGCAAAACCAAAGTGTGAAACTGCACCTACCTTCTAAAGTAACTAACCAAACATTTACCATGTGATATATACAGGCAAACACTGGGGAGACAAAGGAAGAAATAATTTCACGCCCTAGGTCCCCATGCAATAACACTCCCTGTTACCCAGGCACTTGGGAAGCTGAAGTGATTTGACCAGTGTGACAGGAAGAGGTTAAAAGAATGCTATGGGAAGTTAAGCTTGTTTTGAAGAACAGATTTCTTATCTGTGAAATTTAACATAGAGTTGTGTAGTTCCATCAGTTTCAAGGCCACACAAATGCAACCATTGCAAATAGACAGTGCTCTCACATGCTGCAGCTTGCCATTCTTTATCATCTTTTGTTTCAGTTCTCAAAAGAATCTTTTATCCCTTTGTAATCTGGAAAACTGGCCAACTTTGGCACCTACACTAGTGCAAGTCAGGGCTGAACATCAGCCAATGTTTAGCAAACAAATATAATATGGGACAGAAAAGTGAGCCAGGTCCCCAACAGCACATAGCTACAAACTGGAAGTGTCAGGACACAGGAATACACTTGATGCTGAATGCAATGAGCATTGGCTAAGGCTATACCACGAAAAGGTAAACACATTACCTGAACATGAAAGATGCAGGAAGCATCAGCAAGGATCCTGCACAAGATGGTCCCAGTATGCTTGACAGAGGGAAGCAAGGGTGTGAAGAATACTCAGCCTCTGTCACCTCAGTTGACTGTCTATCTTTCTTTACCTTGGCTATTGCATGTATCCGAGTGCTGGATGGCTCAGAGAGCTCCGTCTGGAGGTCTGTGGTGGTTGGCCAGGCTTTGTTCATAGGCAGATGTGAAGTGAAACCATCTACTGAGGGGTGGCACATTCTCAGGGCCTTCTGGAAGCTCTCCTCAAAAGTGCGCCCGATAGCCATGACCTGTAAGGGAGAGCACTCCCATGTTAGCAGTGGTCAGCTGTGCCTGGCTGTACCCTGAATAACAGAGGAGTGCAAGTTTAAACCATGAAGACAGACATATGGAAAGATGACAGCCTTTGGACTCCTTCTTAACCTAGTCCTGCTGGCTTTAAGACAGATGCCTTGGGAGTCACAATTCCAGGCCTGACTCTGGAAATGTATCAACAGGGAATTCCAGACAAGCGACTCCTTTCTGCTTCTGTCTCCCTATCTGTAAAACACTGGAAGCTGCTGCTCTCCTCTGTAAAGTGCTTTGAAGCACTTTGGTAGAGAGAAGCATTATGCAGCAGCATGGGCATAGTAATATAGAAGGATATTTCTGTTTAACAACCTGTTACAGAAACTCACAGTGGGAATTTTAAGGTTCAGGAGAAATCTGCTACTCTTCCCTTAAATTACATTTAACAGTGACCCTCCCCTGTGAGGGCTCTCTTAAAGGATTACTCCTCCTTGGCAGAGCAGCACTGGGGTTTCCCTCCTTCAGTCTTGACATCACATCTAATAAGCAAACCAGCCTTTCTCTCTGGAAATCTGCGAGGCAACAGAGCCCTTTCTCAAACTTCAACATTTTTATTTCCCAGTGCAGTGAAACCTTAACAGCATAAAAATCTTCTCAAACACAATGTTGAAAAATGTCAAAAGAAAAAATAACATAGTTTTCTCTTTTCTCACAGCTCCAGGCCCACTGCCCAGCACAACAGAGCTCAGGAAAAGCTAGGCCAGGCCAGACTGTTCAATTAATGAAAATGCAGTAGGTGCTGCAGTCTGGCTTCAAGTTCAGGCCTGGGGAGATGACTGTGCCATACTAATAGAGACACAGTGGCAGGAAACACTTTGCTTCAAAGACTCCTTCTCCTACTGACGGCTCCTGCAGACTAACCTGCCTGCTCAGTACCTCCACCAGCTACAAACTGCAACCCTCAAGCTTCTCCATCCCCACTTCAGTTCACACTTCAGCAGCCATAGAGCTGCACCGTTAGGACACCAACTCATCCTGTCTCTCCCTCCTGCCTTTACATGGGGTTCTGGCACTTCTGTGGCATATGAGCACTGAAAAGACTCAGCTTTTCCTTCTGCAAATGTGTATGGCCAGGAAGCATTTACAGCTGATGGTGCCACAAGGCAACTGTATCTAGGAACCCCAGCTCTACAGAACAGTTCCAAAACCCCCAAGCAGAGAGGGTTAATATCAGGAAGCATCAACTCACTGAAAAGAAAAAATCCCACCTCATTGCCACTAAAAGCCAAAACTGCCAATGGATAATCAAATCCTAATTAATCCTTCCAGTTCTGATGAAGGCTTGTTGTCTGGTGACAACAATGATGTTAGGAAGATCTCATATGTCAAAATAATTTAATAAAATAGCTATTTGAAAAGCATTAAGAATGAAAGGCAGCTGAAAAAATACACTTCATTATTTTGCTTTGGTAGCTGATATGTATTTAACTAATTAAGTGGGTGATTTACCCATTCTGTTCCATTTCTCTCCTCTTAAAATGTGGTCTGAAAATGCTGCTATTGTACAGACACCTTAAAATCTGATGTAAGACACTTAATCGGTAGGAGAAGTCAAAACTTCAGAACAAGATTACAGGTTGTATTAGGATTTCAAGAGCAGAAGTAGGCTGAGATCTGACATATGGTTTTAACAGAGAGGACAAATAACTTGGGAACAAACAGAGCTGTGGCTCACGAGCATCACTGAAAATCTTGGAATACAACTCATGAAGTCACACTCTAATTAACCACCACTACAGAACCCCAAACAAAACAATAACTCTGAGAGCCCTGGAGTGAATGTTAAGAATGAAGTCAACCTCAGGTGATCCATAGTGATCTCTTTCCTTAGGAGTCAAACCATTTATCAATCCACACTGTGATATCCAAGATGTCACAGTCCTAACTCATTCAATTAGCTTAATACTGGATAAAAGTAATTTGAGCTGAATAAATATCCTCCAATTCATTAGGTCCTTGAAGACAGATATTCTGAGGGTTTGCAAGAAAGAGAAATGACCTTCCCAAGCGGTGGAATGCAAGAGAAGAAGAGAGTCTTGCACTCACCTCTCCCACACTCTTCATGGAGCTCCCAATCCGGTTGGATGTATGCTGAAAACGGTCCAAATCCCAGCGGGGTATCTTGGTAACAACATAGTCAAGGCTGGGCTCAAAGCAGGCAGAGGTTTTTCCTGTCACCACATTCTTGATTTCTGGCAAGGGAATCCCCAGGGCAATTTTGGCAGCAATGAAGGCTAATGGATACCTGTCACAGAGGAGAAGTAGAGAAGAGTAGGAAGTACTTCACTTTTGCAAATCCCAGGAGTGGATCCAATTAGACAGATGTGAGGTGATTGTCCCTCCTCAACACAACGGAAGGTTACTGTGCTCAAGCACAGCCGGACCCATCCAGCCTCCTACCTCAACACATTGCAGAACCACCTCCCTACATCTGGGACTTGCTTTTTTACCCACAAGGCCTCCACTTTCAGTACCTGTCACACCCACTGTGAGCTCACACTAGCAGATATGTTTTGCTGCACGTCTGTTATCCAGAAAGAAAACAACCAAATGCCCACTGCCCAACATCATGGCTGATCTCCAGCCTGCTATGGCTCTTCAACAACTACAAGAGTTGTTGAGAACTGCAAATTAGAGATTAATTTGTGCCTCTCAACAGCATCTGCAAAGTGCAATTAAGAAGCCAATTTCTAAACAGCCTGCTCTGACCATCCCTATCTTGATTAGTTTATGATTAGCCAACAAAACAAAGGCAGCTAGCAATGCCATTTGCATCAATCTGACAGACAGCTCATTAATAACCGCGTCCTCCGGGTCCCAGAGATGATTTGCAGCTAACATATGGATACAGTGGATGTGCTTTGTAAGGACAGCTATTAGGCTCCTACACACACACCTCCCGGGAGTTTCTCCATTTGTAGTAACAGCATCAGCAGGCTGGAATGGACCTGGAGGGCTCACTAACCCCATCTGCCATCTCCCAGCAGGACTGACTCTCCAAGGGTCAATCCTAGCAGATGCTGACAAGAACTGTTCCTAGAAGCTTCCCATGCAGAAATCTGGACCTTACTGACCTGACCACTCCAGAGTTCTCCCTAACGGCCAGCTTCAGTCTTCCTTGCTGAAAATTCAGCCTATAACTCCATGTTTTAACTGTATGGAGAGCAGATGTAGGAACTCTTCTTCCTTGTAGTTGCCATATAAGTATTTAAATAATACATAGATCCAGAACCCTTACCATAATTCTCTCTTTCTGTTCTGCTCCCCTCAGTTTTTGTTTATTCATTTGTTTGTTCTGTAGTATTTTTGTTTTTTAAAATAATCTTACCCTGTCGCCTTGGAGGCCAAAGCTGAACTTCTCGAGAGCCTGGCGTTAACTTCAATGACATAGTACTCCAGGGAAGTTGGATGCAGAGCAAACTGGATATTACACTCTCCCACAATGCCCAAATGTCGGACAACTTTGATGGCATGGTCCCTCAGCATCTGGAACTCTTCATTAGTGAGTGTCTGGCTTGGAGCCACTACGATAGAATCTCCTGTTTGTCACAAGGTAGCAGAGAAGGGAAATGAGAAGCAGCTTAGCAGCAGTAAGTTCTGGCCACAAAGGTCACTGTCCTTGCTAACCCACTGCTAGTAATGACATCACCACAGACATTGCAACCTGTAGATGCACAGCTGATGAAAAGCATGGATAGTCAGAAGCCCAGAGTTAGAAAAGGTAGGAAATCTTATGGAAAACAGGATCACAGCACAGGGGTAGGTTTAGTCTAACAGTGTCTGTTTCACACCCTATCTGGCTATATTCAAGACCTGAAGAGTATTTCTAGAGCCCACTCAGTCAATCATAAAACTGTCAATAACAGCAGGCAGAACGGCACTGCAGAAAAGAGCCAGTGAGCCGTCTCCAGTGAGACACCCTGTGCCCAAGCCTACCTGTGTGGACTCCCATAGCATCAATGTTTTCCATATTGCAGACAGCAATGCAGTTATCAGCAGCATCTCTCACAACTTCATACTCTATCTCCTTCCAGCCAACGACTGACTTTTCCACCAGAATTTGGTTAGTCATTGCAAATGCCTGGGAATATGTTAGGGAAAATAAACAGTAAAAAACCAAACCCAACCAAACAAAAAAAAACTTTATTAGAACATACTCCATACTTAAGACTACTGTGACTTATCTCCAGACATCCCAGACCAACAGGAAAATGGAAAGATGCAAATAAGTAAAGCTTATAGACTTGATGACAAGCACTTTCTATTTCTCTTCATTTGTTTTTTTTAAAATTGATTCACCTTCATTTGAAAGGCACAGAAAATATATATGTGATATGAAGGGGGAAAAGAGGTAGGGCACATGTGCTTTCAATGGCATATAAATAACAAATAGGAACATAAAAACATCGAAGGCTTCAATCATGCAACAGGCACATGCTTTACGTGGGCAGCCCCAAGGACTTCCATGGAAGAATGCTGCAGAAAGCAAAATGACTGAGTGATGGGGGTGTGGGTGCCAGCAAACACGATGTAATTAATAGTGCTAATAATGCTGCTTATCACTGGCATACTAACCAGAGGCAAGAGCTGTGATTTATTCTTCAACTAATCTTGAAAGCACTTCTCAGCACATGGGGCAAAAAAGAAAAATATAGTTTGTTGGTAAATGAGCATAATCTAAGTGAATAAATGGCCTTAATATTAGCGTATAGAAAACATTAATCAATTCTTGCTTAAAATCCTAGAAAGTAATGGGCACATTATCAATCCATTCTTTAGCAAAGCTTCTTGTTTTAATGCTGCCCATCAATCGAGTCTTCAGTCTGGTCCCCTCTGTCGTTAGCTTGAGCTGATATCCAAATGTTGCCCTTAGCTCAGTTGCCAAAATCACACATAACAATAAAACCTCAAAAAATCTTTGAGGAATGGCACTTCACACCTGGCCTAAGCAGGCACTGAATTTGTGGTGATGCAGCAGGAACACCTAACAATGCTTGTAAACAACCTTCACTGCTCCTGGGTCTGTTGCCTTCTCTCACTCAATGAGCATGCTCAGGAGACATGAACTCCAGGCCAGGTTACCTGAACTAGCTGTGCTAGGAAACACCTAGAGGTGTTCAGTATCTGAATTATAAACTATTAAGACTCCAGTGCCTGAAAAGCCAATTCACTGAATTACTACAGATCACCTCCATAACCGAAAAGAACAGAGTTTCTGCATCCAAATTTGAGTTCATTCAACAAGACTCAAATTGGCTTTCGCTATAAATTTTGAAATATTGATACTGAACTGGGAGGTGCTGTTGACTTTCTGAGGGACAGGAGGCGTCGCAGAGGGATCTAGATCAATTGGAGCATTAGACTATAATTAATGGGATGACATTTAAGGAGTTGAAATGCCAGAGTCTGCACCTAGGACAGAGTAATGGTGGGCACAAGCATAAACTGTGAGAGGAGTGGCTGGGGAGCAGCTCTGCAGACAGGAACCTGGGGATGCTGGTAGGCAGCAGGCTCACTTTCTTAAAAATAACCCCAAGACATGCAGATCAAAACCAGGTCTTCTGACTGATAAACATTTGGATATAAACCTTTCAGACAGCTGCACTCCCAGGGTTTAAGGGGAATTTCTTTCTCTAAACACAGTGCATACGTGAGCTTGGCCAAGCGAAGTGTTTCCAACCCCAGCATCCATCTGTAGGATGGGGTTGCTGCACCCACTGCCTGCTCTGATGTCTGTCAATCCTGTCCCCTGAGCCTCACACAGCTGACACTGCCTGAGCAGTGTGTGTCCAGCGCTGAGCACACTAGACCCAGAGCCTGTTTGCATGACAGCACGAACAAGTCGGTTTCGCACACAGCTCTTGGTGGTATCAGCAGAATCTCTTTCTAGAGGTACATGAAAGATTCAGAGGTTCAGCAAACTGGAAAAAGATAAACCCAAGAATTTTAGAGACCGGTGGCTACAATTTTTTTTCCTGAAATTCTGCATTTTTGCCAAGGAAAAAAAGACTTTGATTTGTTTTCCCCAATTATCTGTTTACTTTTCACATCAAATTCTTGAAGCACAATCCCAGATTTCATACAGAAAAAGAGTTGTCTTCATAGCCAGAGACAGCTGGCATGTGACAAATTATGAAGTGTCATCCTGTTAAATCTCTACATGAGCTTTCAACCTAGCAAAAATACCATCTTGAGACAGAAACACAGCAGAGGTCTAAGCCTCCCAGCCCTTCTGTCCCTGAGACCACATTATCACTTAGTGTTTCAAATGTTACAACTTCCTTGACACTGTTCATGTGCCATTTACTCATGAAAGTAGATGAATATAGTCCAATATGTTTCTTCTCAGATGAAAACTGCTGAAAAACTTGCTCAAGTCATGTCTTGTCATGAATTTAACAGATCTGTCATTCAGCCATTTTCATCAACCAGGTCAGCAGGAGTTATGAAAAGAGGGCAGTGGAAGGAATCAGGACACCTTACAGATAAGATGAAAGGTAGGATATGTCTAATTCCAGCGCCTGTGACTATCAGAAGAGTGTCTAAGAAAATCAGATGTTCAGTTCTATTCCCAGAGCTTGCAATTCCAGGCATACCTTTGTACCAAGGTCCAGCAAACTTTCCTTATCAGAACATATTCCTGATCCCAGACCACCAAGGGCATAGGCAGAGCGTATCATCACTGGGTAGCGAATCTTTTCAGCTGCCTTCAGAGCATCTTCAATCTTAAAGGAGAGGGGAATTACATTTCAGACATAGATAACCATTCAGACGAATAAAGTCTTCAACTCCGGTTACACAGCTAACTGGAAATCCCATCAAGTAAGACACTAAGCTGTCTGAAGATAGAATGAAAATAATAAAAGTTGGCTTTGCAATATTGCTTTGTTCTGCCAAACAGCAGAAAACTGGAACATGCACTCAAGGAGGTGATTCCTGTCCTCAGCTATGTGTGGACTTCCTTGCTGACTTTCCATGGACAATGTCCTTACCTGGTCTGTCTTCAGAGACTTTAGCACAAAATTACTCCTCCAACAGACATCCTGGTTTAAGACTTGTTTTCTCCAAACTCAAACAGACTTTCCACTGAACCAATTTTTTGTTTTCACACACATGTCCCCAAGACAGATTTCAGTACTGCTGATTTGGATGATCTGAACATCAAAGTCTAAACGACTTGTGCAAGATTTACAAAAAGAAAAGTACCCCCTGGACATCTTACATACACTTGTGCTGCAGCAAAGGAGTCACCTAATTTACTTTTCTTGTCAATAGGTAAATTAGCTTAGACTTTCCAAGTGCTTAATTGCATTTTCACTCATTTTAAAACATGGTGACCCAACATCAGTCACTGAGGAGTGCTGATATAAGTGTACGCACTACAGTATCTACAGTTGCATTCAGCTTTCACTCAACAGAACTAGAAGTATTTATAAAGTAACTCAAATGGGCAACAGTAATTTTATCTTGAAAATGATCTGATTTACCGATTCCACTGCAAAGCTAGGAGCAATCTTTTCATTTAGCTCAGTCAGTTTATCGGAAAAAAGCTTTCTATCCTCTGTAGCCATGATGGATTCAACTGATGTACCTAGGACCTTCACACCATACTGCTGCAGGACTCCTTGCTTGAAGAGTTCCACTCCTGCAGAGAAAACAAAGACACAGTTTTGAGGATTGATATTCAATGAAGAATTGTAGAACTATAGAATCACAGAGTGGTTTGGAAGGACCTTAAAGATGATCTCATTCCACCCCCTGCTATGAGTAGGGACACCTTCCACTCGACCAGGCTGCTTAATGCCCCATCCAAACTGGCCTTGAACACTTCCAGGGATGGGACACCTATAAATTCTCTAGGTAACCTGTACCAGTGCCTCAGCACCCTCACAGAGAAGAATTTAGAAAATTTAGAAAGAAGAAAGTATTCAACAAGATGTCTGATAGCTGACAACTTGTCTGGCCTCACCAACAGGTAATTTAATTGTTCTTTGTCAGTATTAGAACTCAGAACCATAACATGAAACTTCCTGTCGAAATCTGGGATATTAGTACAGTTACTGCTTGGCCATCATCTGCAACACAGAGCAAAGCAGCACAGACACATACTGCTGCAAGAAGCTAAATGAAGGGAATTTTCCTTTTGATCTCTGCCTCAAAGTGGTCTGAACATCCCCAATGCGACCATGATAACTAAGATTTAAAGTGAAAAGCAGGACATATGAATTACTTTTAATTATCAAACCCAGCAATTAGATGTTCTGTTCACAGCTTAGCAATGACTCTCTCCCCCACTGTCAGTAGTTCTGCCTGCATCCCTCAGTAACCCAGGCAACGTATGATGCACCTGGAGGCCACTTTCTCTGGTCCTGTCCTTTGTTACCTGGTGAGACCCCTGAGCCTGCTCGCATTGAGTGCCAAGGCACCTGTACCCCACTCACCACAGTTGAGAGCAGTCTGGCCACCCATGCCCAGAATTAATCCGTCGGGACGCTCTGCCTTGATGACCTCTACAACAAACTGCGGAGTGATGGGGAGGAAGTAGACAGCATCAGCCTGCTTTAAGCCAGTCTCATTGGTCTGCACTGAAGCAATATTTGGGTTCATGAGGACAATTTTCACATTTTCTTCCTGAAAAATGAAAATCTGCATTAAAAACAGGCATATGTGGGGGAGGAAAAGTTAACAGCAGCAGCAAGGAGGGTTTAACAAACAATCTATCAACAGCAGAATTAAAAGAGCCTCATTCCTTATGTACTGTCCCATAAGACATTCCTGGTCTCTCCTACTGGCTGAGCTACCAGTAATTCTTTACTTTTGTGCCTCTGCCTGTCTGTGAATCTAGAGGGAATGGAGATTTGCACCTGATTCAGAAGTTTGGTAGAAATTGCTTAACACATCTAGGAGTTACACAGAGGAGACAGGAACAAACTCCAGCACAATCATGTCTGTCTTGTTGTAAGTCAGACTAAAAGTGCCAAGGCAAAACCTTGAATCAAACCCCAATCTTTTCCTGCCAAGCAGTAGATCTTTGATCATGGGTATCCAGGTGGCTCTCAGACTTTTGTATCAACTAGTAACAGTAACAAAAATACATTTTTTTGCTTTGACTTTCCTTAGAGACACTTTTAATTTTCCTGCTGTTACCACTTTACAAATTCTTATTTGATATTGCACGTACTAAAAGACAAACGCTGCCTCTGTATGCAAGACAAAGGTTAGCCAAAACTTTACACTGCTTTTTCTCTGTCACAGATGAGAAACTGAGATAGAGTGATGATAACATTTATCTGTTTCCTGCTATACTAATGGGAGTTTTGCCACTATTCTGGCTACAGGCAGTTTGCTCATTAATAGAAAAGTCTGAGTCAGAGCTGGGTAGATCAACTCTCCTCACTATTGAAATATTAGTGTGTAATGAGGAAGCCAACCGAGTTTTGCTAATAATGATGAGTGTGGCCAAACTTAAAAACCCCATGTCAACCATATGCAGATACAGAACAATGTGTTGCTGCTTTGTTGAAAAGGTGGAGTGGAAAGTGCAAAGGGAAATTATTTTTACAAGAAATCATTCTAATCTCCATCGACTTCTTGTAAGGCAATAAACTTCTACAAACAAACAAGCTATTTGCAAATGATGCTAATTAGAGACGCAAAATACATTTCAAGAGAAAGATTTGTTGTATGGAAGTTGTGGAGGTTAAGGAACAATAACTCACAATAAAAACAGGAACAGTGACAGCACTTAAAATAGAGAAGAAAGAAACAAGCAGATTAAGTCAGCCATCCTTCAAGAAAATGCTCTGGAAGTGTTGCTGGGACCAGTATAGAAATTGCTATTTTTCCCCAGTTCACAATAGGCATGGCAATGCCATAGGATTTTTCTCTGTTTGTTTAAAATTTGTGATTGTTTGACTCACTGGTTTAGGAGAATAAAGAAGTAGCTCACCTGGAGCAGTGGGATTCTCACTCAGAGCTCTGAGTGCTCAGTTCAAGGGCTGAATAACATTTCTTCTCCTTCCTTTGAAAATTTAAAATACTGCCTGAAAGACTGGCTATAAATTTCTGCTGAACTTTTTTCCCCTCAGCGAAAAGTTGGATTTTTATTCACTGAAGCACACTTTCCTCAGAAATGTGTAGAACAGGGAGCTGGAGTGAGTCCAGAGAAGAGCAACGAGGCTGGTGAAGGGACTCAAGCACAAGTGCTTTGAGGAGAGGCTGAGGGAACTGGGGGTGTTTAGCCTGGAGAAGAGGAGGCTCAGGGGAGACCTTATCACCCTCTACAACTCCCTGAAAGGAGGTTGGAGTCAGGTGGGGGTTGGTCTCTTCTCCCAGGCAACCAGCAGGAGGACAAGAGGGCACAGACTCAAGCTCTGCCAGGGGAGGTTTAGGTTGGATATTAGGAAGAGATTTTTTTTATGGAGAAAGTAATCAGGCATTGGAATGGGCTACCCAGGGAGGTGGTGGAGGTTTTCAAGATGAGACTAGATGTGGCACTTAGTGCCATGGTCTAGTAACAACAGTGAGGTTGGACTTGATGATCTTTGAGGTCTCTTCCAACCCGGTTGATTCTATGATTCTGTGAAAGAAGAGAAAATCCTATATTTTGAATTTAGACAAATGACCACAAACTGGGTAGTTTTCATGGTGGTGATGAGGGAAGAGAATAGATCTCTGAAAAAACATTCTCCTCTAATAAATGTATTAAAAAATTCATAGCTGTATTTTTGTTGAAATGAATGGGGGATGGAAAGGTTTGTCACTTTCCAAGTGGAATCACTTCCAAGGTGGAGTATCTGCACATCTCAGCTATTTCTTCCCCGCTTATCTGGGACAAGGTGTCTTAAGGACTAGCCAGCAGTGGTGAGGAGGATAATTAATGAGAGAATTAATGCTCCCTGTGCTGAGAGACACGTTTCACTGATATCACATCCTCTGGCTTAGTGATTTGGGATGCTGGATTTGAATCTGCTTGGTGTTTGCCCTTGCAACCCTTCAACTTCTGCCTTTTACCTTTTCATAAAGACACAGCACTCTGTGCACATCTATCCTGGTTGGAGACCTGACAGAATCACAGAATCAGCCAGGTTGG